AAAAATTAAAAAAAAAAAGCCTGTAAGTGCATTGGTTATCCTGAACCACTCCCTTCCTCCCTTCCTCCATGTCTTTCATTAGTTACTCAAACTCTGTTAGAAACACAGTGGAATACAAATTCTAATTACCTTACCTTACCCTTGCCTCAAAACTTTTATAGTTTATTGGAAAGAAGAGACATGTACACATGTACACTATAAGCCAGGGCTATTTTATAGGGGAATGTATTACTAGACCATTTTGGAGCTTTGTCTGAGAATTATTCTATCAGAAAGGAACTTTGGCACACTGTGTTGATCTCTGCCGTTATGAAATACATTGTTTGCTAAAAAACATAATATTCAACTGCTGTTTTTCTGTTTTCAAATATTACCTTTTCTTTACCTTTAGTATCTTCCTACTAACCTCAATCAGTAATTTTCAGCCTTTTTGAGCAATACATAGCAGGTTTTGCCATAGATCCAAATTTCTGATCTGTGCGTAGTACAAATGCAGACACAGATCACTAAATTTGCTACAAGCAGTAAAAGTACTCCAGAATTATAACTTCCTCTTACAGCATAGAACCTGCTTGTTTGTTCTGTGTAGATATTTGAACTAGTTAAACTCTATTCATTTCTCTGCTACTGTAGTTGAACACAAGTGAGAGAAATTTATAGCACAACCTTGAATTGTTTCCCAGTTTGTTCAAAACAAAATGAAATCTCTGGTATTTTATGTCAGAGGTAACAAAGGCCCGCTGAGCTCCCCAGGAATGTCCTGACCCTTGTGCTGCTTCTAAAATGCTAGATCGGAGGCCAGGCCAATGTGGGCAGCTGGCCTTAGATCCCCAATTCTAAGATTATGCCACCACTTTCTTGTGACATTAGAGTGAGAAGCAAAAGGAGCTTTCTGTCAGTTACCCAAAGGCTGTATTCAAGCAGTGACCTATTTTTACACTGTAATCAGGTTGGGTTTCTCTTTTGCCCTCTCAAGGCAGTAATCTCACATTCCTTTGAGTGCTTGAGAAGCCAGTTCCATATTACCTCTTTGACTTGGGTATTTTTCATCTTGACACAGATCAGTCTTAGCAAGGACAGTAATATCCTTTTCCTTTTGTAGAGGATAGGGGTATGAGTATAAAACTGAAGGATATGAAAGCATAAACCAACTGGGGACAGTTGGCTTTCAAGGAAGAATGAAACTGATGAACTAGATAGACAGTGGTATTTGGGATTATGAATTAAAGTTTCTGCTTTTTAAAAACTTAATCACACATATCAGTTAACTATTTAGCTTAGTCACCAAAGTTTGCTGGAACTTAAAATGTGCAGAGTGAGAGGTATAGTGATGAAATGGTACAGCTCTTGCCTGGCCCAGTCTTGAGAGGAAGCTTGACCCACAGATACAATGCACTATCCGCACTGTGGCAGAGGATATAGACCTGGAACCAGGTGTGGTTGTTGCTGGGTTAAGGGGTGTTGTGAAGGGTGGTGAGAATTCTTGAATTCTTAGCCTCCTAGCTAGACTCTGGCTTTCTACTGCTCTCCACTCCTGCCTGTCTCACCTCTACAGGACCAGTGCCTGGTCTGTGTTGACCACTTAGGTATGTTCGTGTGTTTCATACAGGGGTCAGATTCTTTTTTTTTTTTTTTGACATATTACATGTTACCTTTATTTTTTTTTCTTTTCAAAGTTTTATTGATAAACATATAGCAATGAGACAGTTTCAAATCAAATCGAAAGTACAGTTTCAACAAATAATATGCATATATTCTTCTTAGTGGTTAATTGCTGTACAAGATGCAGACTTGTGATCCTACTTACAAACACCATTAGAAAAAATCATTCTATTCATTGAGAATGCAACTATATATCTATCCCAACCACTTTGAATACACAGATACAAAATGGACATTCATAGTTATTCCCCAATTTTTTTTAAGTTCCGTTGTTGAATATTATAGGTGTGTAAACTCAGCAAAATATTCTAAAAGAGTACAGAAGCCCATAATAGCATTGGGTCTTCTGTAGGGGTCAGATTCTTTAGGTGAATTTTTCATGTGTCCTGAAGGAAACCTTCAGAATAGGAGGAGAAAGTGCCACATGGCTCCATTTTTGCAAAGGTAGCCTACATGCCTAATGGCCATGAGATTTTAGACTTTGAGGCCTTTTCACCTAGAATGATACATGTATACTCCTGTCTCCTCTGCGTGAATTATAGCATTTCATCCTTTAAGACCTACTTTTGCTATAAGACTTGTTCTCACAGTTTGTAAATTCTACCTTTCGTCCTGAGCAACACCCAACTACTTCATCTCTGGTGTTTCTATTGCCTTTCCTTTCCCATAAGTGCTTAGAGACTTTAACTTCTATTTACACTATTTACACCTGCATCTATCTGTCTTTGCCACTGCACTGTGAATCTTAATCACAGTGTGTTTTATTTATCCAGGACATACCAGTTGCTTAGCATAGTGAGTCGTATGACAGAAGTGTAAGTGTCACATGAATGAATTTGCTCTCTGGCACCAAGATGGCTAAAGATATAGGAAGAACAGATTCTTAATTGATTCTCAGGCATTTGCAGCTGGTAGAATGTCTTTAATACTTGAAACCAGAAGGATATGGCAACAGTTTTAGGTATATAACCTAAGAAGACATAAAAAGAGGCCTGTTAGCATTCAGGCAACAAATTAGTAAAGGACTGTGTATACAGTGGCAGAGAAGGGAGAACATCAAACAAAGCAATATCAGTCATTCCTTAACTTTTATACGTAATATGCTGTTGAGTTACACACAAAATTCACATTATCTTCAGTGTCGTCATCTTTCAGCATGAAATATTCATGTGCCAAATGATGAAAGTCTGAATTCAGCATTCAAAAGATTACTGGAAGTTGTCCATATTTACTAACTGGAAATTGAGGTTGCTTTCTGGTGTTTCCTGGTACCAAATGAGGAAGTATATATTAGATGCTTGGTAAAGATGGATATAATGATTGAACACTTAAGATCAACCATTTTTATGTCTCTGAATTTTTGTTGGGATTTAGACCTTATGTTTTCACAAATACTATTACTTTGCAAGTATAATATAGTAGTATATTATATATTATTGTAATTATTCATTGATTGAAAGACAAATTGTACATGATAGGATGCTATGTTTCTATTTTATTTATCTATTTCTTTTTAATTCTTGTAAGTTTGTGATTCATTTGAGGACAACAGTAGAATTTGCCTTCAACAAAGGATTGTTGGAAGTCTGAACACACCCTACCCTTTTTCTGCTTTCCAGCATAATAAAGGAGAATGGGCTATGCTCCATACTTCCTGGGTCTGTTCTGCTGTGTACTATTAATTGTTATGTTCTTTGTTAAAACTAGACAACTTTTTTATGCTGCATCTTAAGTACATTTTCAATATTCTTTGGTGGAAATGGAGACCATATGGTCACTGTCATCTGTGTAATAATGATGATTGAAAATGGTTAGTAAGCCACCCTTTGGCCTTTTTTCTTGTCTAGGCAAAATTTTCTCTGTTCTTGTGGCCATTCCCTATAAATCTCATTTTCTGGCCCTTTAATCATCTTGATGGCTTTCTTTGGGAAGCACATCAAAGGCTCAGTTTCAGTGCCTCTATTCTGATGAGGCCTAGCCATCAACATTTAATGGATATGGGATAGAATTGTTTTAACCATCTGATTTCTACAGCTAGTCCCCACATTTCCAAGTTACTCCCAGTCCACTGACAATTAGGACTTAATTGTGGCAATCTTTATATTTTTGATCAAGGAAATGATTTGACTAAAATACAAATTTTAGCTTGTTGATAATTGTAGCTCTTGGTTGATAGTGTGCTTGGTCTGTTGCCTGGTCTGTTGCATTTTGAAATCATTTTCTATCATTTGTGAGCATATATGTTTTCTCGTAGTGGAGGATAATCCAAAACTTTCTTTTACTCATTATTTTTTTTTTAAACTTTAGCATTCTATTTTAATTAACATTTATTTATTTATATGTGTGTGTGTGTGTGTGGCCAGCTCAGCCCACCAGGGGGCGGGGCTGGCTGGCATGTGGTGCTGGGGGATCGAACTGTGCTCCCTGTGCTTTGTGAAGTTTGTTCCAAGTAGGTGCTTTAGACCACTGAGCCATCTCACCAGCCCATTTTACTCATTATTGATTGACTCAAGATCTGTGAATGTCTACTAAGTGTTAGGCTGTTCTAGGGATTGTGCTAGGGACTCCAAAGATAAAATGCAGGACCTAACATCACAGAGATCATAATCTCGAAGGAAAGTCTAACACATATTCAAAACACTATAAAGTGGCATGTGCAATAAAAGATGGTATGAATGCAATGGAAGTTTAGAAAACCTTCACAGAATATGTCA